TCGATTTCTTTATATTGTTTTCTGATAAGAATTCTGTTGTAGTCTGAGATTTATGGATTAGAGCATTATCTTTCAAAAATATCAAGGTTTGTCTAATCATTTTGTCTTTTAAACGGATAAAGTTGTCGGCAAGTGTATCTTGGTAACTAGTCTTAGCTCTGCCATGGAAACCTGCCCATATCATAACAGAGCCATATCCATGAATTCGCTGTAATAGATGCAAAGTTTCTTATCCCATGTCGTGCCATTAATATCTTAATATAATAGACCCATCTCGCTCGTCTGAATTATTTTATAATATCAGTAAATACAAATTTATGCCATACATTTTGCTAAAGAGCATTACAGGAAGATACTAGGTTCAGTTAAATTGTTTTTTTGTTTTATCAGTAAGAATAAGTTCACGCTATAACGCTTAAGAGCATTACACAAAGCCATCTGGGTCAGTTAGATTATTTTTTGTTATAACAGTAAGCATAAATTTATGCCATAACGCTTAGCAGCATTACATGAAGCCATCTGGCTTAGTTGGATTATTTTTCGTTGTATCAGTAAGCATAAGTTTATGCCATAACGCTTTAAAGAGCATTACAAGAAGGAAACTTTAAACACTCTTGAATCTGTCATTTCAGAAGCTTTGGTATATCTTTAAATTTAGAAAACTTTAAATTTTTAAATTCTTTTTGGAAATATTTTCTGTTGCTCCAGATGTAACAGGATGCAACTCTAGAACTCGAACATCAAGATGTACTTTTAGACGTAATTTCATATTTATTGTAATATTTAGAAAATGTGATAAAAATAAAATGTAAAATTTTTCGAAAGATTCCATCTTAAAAATTTTGTTTGAAATACATAAACTCTGGCTTTAAAGGGCTAGTTATACTCAATTATTCTTAAATTTTATCCCTCATGAAGCTTTTGTTATAATTTCTAGTATCATAATTTCTAATATCATGATTTCTAATATCATAATTTCTAATATCATAATTTCTAATATCATAATTCACAATTTACAATATGATTAATTGGTTTGTCAAAAAGTCATCTATTTTTGAAATATTTGAAAAATACTTTTAATATTAACTTGTTAGAATAGTTCTGCAACATCCCCCGCTGAAAGATCTCGCTTATAGCTATAACGAATAAAAAGAAGAAGTTCAGTTTTATCTAAAGTCATTAAGAGCTTATTTATAATTATGCTTATTTATACTTTAAGCTAAGAACACCAAAAAACAACATTACAAAAGGAAAATTCATAAAAGTTGAATTTTTCACAAGTGTTGCAGAACTTTTTTTAAACAACCTAATATTAAAATCTAAGTTTTATTAAGTGAAAGTATTAAACCTCACATTCACATTTTTTGGGAAACATTTTGAAACGTGATGTGATTGATTAAGCTTATGGATATTGCTTATGGATGCCGAATATATTTAACTGATGACGTAAAAGAAATATCTGAATACATTTATCATACTTCCTTTCATTTACTTAAAAATATTTTGATCTTATCCAAAAAAGAGGAAATGTACTGTCCGGTTGCTATGCAACTGTTAAGATCAAAATATTTCGAAGAAAAAAAGAAAGGTACATGACCCGCAAACCCACAAGAATAGAAGGAGGGTAATTCACTGCTATCAATGAAAAAATATTAATTTCCACAATCCATTTGACTAAGAAAGGCGGTTTCATGTCCTAGTATTTTAATAAATTGAGTTGAAATATATTTGTACTTTAGAGACCTAGATTTCTTGGCCTATCTTTTACTAGGCGTTTACTCGTGTTACATTTAGTAGAAGAATGCAAATAGAATATATTGATCAATGAAATACTAATGTGCAACGTGACATTTAAGTTCCAAGATATCGAATTTTCATCTAGGTAAATTCTATATCTTGGAACCTATATATATAAATAT